AATCGTCTGCGTACTGCTGTATTTTAAGGGGTTTCGCTGTTCCTGGTAATGGGAATCCTTCGATTCTGCTGTCCGCTCTGATCACTAAAGCGAGAGCTTCAGCCACAAAGACATACAACAAAAGAGTGAGGGGGTCGTCTTGTCTGACTCCCCTTTCGGTAAGGAGTGGGGCTGACAAGAACCCGCAATTCAGAATAGATGCCGAAATTTCTGAATATAGAGTGTTAATAAAGGATATAAAGTTTTCTCCAAGATTAAATTTTTGGAGAATCTGCAGCAGAAACGCACGATCGACTTTGTCAAACGCCTTTTCTTGATCTATTGACAAAATGAAACTAGGTAGATTTTTAAATTCCGCGTAATCTATTAGATCACGGACTAAGTGTAAATTTGAGAAAATTGTTTTACCTGGAATTCCGCAAATTTGATTTGGTTCTATTATTTTCCCCATTACTTTTGCAAGTCTTAGGGCCAGCGCTTTTGTGATTATTTTGTAATCAGCGCCGATTAGGGATATGGGCCTCCAATTTTTACATTCAGTGAGATCTCCTTGCTTGGGAATTAGTGAAATTATTGATTTTTTTATAGAGTGGCTGGTATATTTTTCTACGAAAAGTATTTCGTAAGCAAGCTCTTCAAAATCTTTTTCTAAAATGTGCCAAAAAGTTTTGTAAAATTCAGCTGGAAGTCCGTCATAGCCCGGAGATTTTCCGTTTTCAAATTTAAAAAGGGCTTCTTTTAACTCCGCACCGGTTAGGCAGGTGTTTAAAAATTGATTTTCATCATCACTCAAAAGTTTAGTGATGTGTAACAAGACATAGTTTTGGCTGTCTTTGCATAAATTCGTTTTGGTGTAAATGTTTTTGTAATATGAAACGAGGGAGTTTAATATCTCACCAGGTTCACTCGTCAATGTGCCGTCGTTCTTGCGAATTACGGTCATTGACTTGTTCCGCTGTAGAACTTTTTCCAAACTATACAAAAATTTTGAAGGTTTTTCTCCTTCTTCAATTAGTTTTTGTTTCGTGCGAATAAACGCTCCTGGAAACTGGAGCAAGAAAAGAGCATCGCGTTTTTCTTTGATGCTATCTAAATTCGGGTTAGCGTTTTGTCGCTCCCGTTGGATTTCGTTTTCAATCCTTTTGATTTGTTTTTTGTTTTTCGCACTTTCCTGAATAGATATATGTTGTAATTCAACCCAAACGAAAAGTTTACAGTCGTCCCACCATTTTAAAAGTGAGTTGTAGGACCG